ACTCCTGTTTTCATTATGATAGCCGGCAGAACATTTCCAGAAATAAACTGGACGAACACGTAAGTAGTAGAAATAGATTAAACATTTTCAGGGACATGGGTGGGAGTGTATTGCATTGAGGAAAATTCCTTAGATGAAGTGATACTGTTCAAGTATGAAAAATCATAACTTACCATGGTGAGAAATTACCTGCACTGTTTAAAATTCTCAGAGAAAATATAGTGTTTAGCATCGAATGTGACAAACTGATTTTGAACTCTTTCATTTGAATTTGTCTCAATTTTTTAAAAAGATCTGTTTGTGTACATGGTTGACAATTTTTACAGCAATACAGAAACTTATTGTGAAATTACTATGTGGGAGAAATTATAAGGTACAACAGATTAGGTGTTTTACATTTGCTCCTTTTATCCTCAGAGCAAAAAAACTTTTGAGTTATTACTTTTATTTTTTCACATCAGAAATTTTGATATGCTCAAAGCCTCATAGCTTATACTCAAAAAAAAAAAAAAAAAGATGGGGTATGAATGTAAACCAGTAAAGAGCTCAGACTTGGAAGCCAGGCTGGCTGGATGCAAATCTCAGCTTGGCCTCGACCAGCTGTAGGATCCGTAGGATTCTGTGTCTCTGTTTCTTTATATATAAAATAGGGATAGTAGTACTATCTGCCTTATAAGATTGGTTGGAAGATCATAAATATATAGATAGATAGGGAGGGTATGGTGGCTCAGGCCTGTAATCCTAGCACTTTGGGTGGCTGAGGCAGGCGGATCATGAGGTCAGGAGATCAAGAGCATCCTGGGTGAAACCCTGTCTCTACTAAAAATACAAAAAAATTAGCTGGACATGGTGGTACATGCCTGTAATCTCAGCTACTCTGGAGGCTGAGCCAGGGGAATTGCTTGAACCAAGGAGTCAGACGTTACAGTGAGCCTAGATCATGCCACTGCACCCCAGTCTGGTGAAAGAGCAAGACTCCTTCTCAAAAAAATATAAAATGTGCGTGTGTGTGTGTGTGTGTGTGTGTGTGTGTGTGTGTGTGTGTCCGGGGCAAATGTATATATACCCACACACCACACATGTACACTTTTAAGTGTGTATTAAAAATCTAAAAGAAAATCAACTACTATTTACACACATAAACGCACACACATAGGGCTTAGACATCACCAACACTAAATGAGCTAATGCATATATAATGTGGAACAGGAACTGGTACAAAAGTATCACGTATTATTACTGTCCTCATCAACACCCACCCTGGCCTCACATGTTTTGTTTGTTTGTTTGTTTGTTTTTTTGTTTTGTTTTGTTTTTTAAATGAGACAGAGTCTCACTCTGTCGCCCAAGTTGGAGTGCAATGACACCATCTCGGCTCACTGCAATCTTCATGCCCCTGGTTCAACTGATTCTCCTGCCTCAGCCTCCTGAGTAGCTGGGACCACAGGTGGGTGCCACCATGCCCGGCTAATTTTTGCATTTTTAGTAGAGATAGGATTTCACCACGTTGGCCACGCTGGTCTTGAAATCCTGACCTCAGGTGATCCACCTGCCTTGGCCTCCCAAAGCGCTAGGATAACAGGTGTGAGCCACTGCGCCCACTCCTGGCTTCACATCTACATCAAGCCTTGGTATCTGTACAATAGCTCCTCTCTGGTGGTCCCAAGGTTCTGCTTCCCTCTCATGGAGTCCTTTTGGTTCAAGAATGTTACGGGGAGCACAATCCCATTGAAAGAAGAGTTGACGGAGCTTTACTTTTTAGAGTTAATGCGAAAAGCCAATGATTGGTTTCAAAAAGTGAAAACTAAAAGCACTGTAGAGAAATCTTGGCTCTCATGAGCCTCCAGGTGGGGAAATTTACTACAAAATACATTCAAGCCAGAATCAGAAACAGCTACTCATTTTTCTGACTATTTTTTTTTTTACTAGGGGTGTGTGTGTGTGTGTGTGTGTGTGTGTGTGTGTGTGTGTAACCTGTAGAAGCTACATATGAGATGGTTGATCAATGGCAACATCACTTGAATCTCAGTCTCCCCCTCTACAATCAGTGCCATAGCTTAGATGTTAATGTTCAAGTTGAGAAAGAGGAGTGCCTTAGAGACTTCTTGCTCTGGAGTTTTGGGATTGGGGCAATGATGAAAACGTTCTTTCTCCCCCTTACTTCCAGTCAAAACCAATTCACCTAATGTCTGCTTTACTCAATGAATTTTTGAATTAGATTTTATTTGAAGGACACATGTTGAACATCAAAAAACTTTTGCCAACCGCTGTCTTCAATCCCTTTCAGGTCTGATGTGCTGACGTCTGAGACTAGACCACCAGTCACTTTTCAATCCTTCCATATAAAGCACTCGCCTGAGCAGCTATGGCAGGTGCAGTCCCATCAGGGAGGGTCACTGGGTCCACAGCAAAATGGAAACCAAACTAAACACACACACTGGCTTTGGAAAGAAACACAAGAACATTCCCATATTAAGATTCTAAATGATGCTTTCTAAAAATGTCTGAAGAAAAGTCGAGTTTAATTCTACCAGTTGAGGCTACGGTGATATTATGGGATTTTTCTACAGGACTTGGTGCGTACCCAATTCCTATGTGTAGCATGTAACTCACAGATTTAATTATAGATCTTCCTCACTCCCTAGTTCCCTAGGAAACAAATCCATGGCTTCATGTCTTGTGCACGGAAGGTCATAGCAAGAAGATAAATATTTTCTGCATTTTGAAACTTTATCTAGAGGTCACAGGTCTGCAAGTCAGCAGACGAGAGCTCTTCAGCCAACAGCCAAAAGCTGCTTTGTTTGACTAATATCAGTGATACTTAAAACCTTTTGTGTTTATCTCAAATAAAGCACTTCCCACTTAAATGACTAAAAATTTTCACTATATCTCTTTTCCTTTTTTTCGGATTGAAATACAAATAAAATGAATAGTTCCTTTAAATGTTTCTGAGTTAAGATAAAGACTGTTTATTATAATAAAAAGAAGGGATGTTATCTGAAAAATCCAAACTAATTTTAATCAGGCGGACATTGCAGGTCAAAATTCTTTCTTTTTTTTTCTTCTTTAACTGTAAATCAAGCAGAAAACTGCCACAACCGTAGAGTTACACTCAACATCTGAAACAAGAGGGAAAACTAAAAGCAGAAAATTCAGAAACAGAAAAATACAAATGCCTTTAAATATGTGATAAAAAGAATCACAAAGTAAAGACACATTCTTCCTTGTGACATGAGAAATCAGTCTCATTTTACTTTATAATTTTGTGTATTTAATACTCTCTGAAATTGGTTTTTGCTCATTCCCATTAGCATCACTTTCTTAGTCCTAAGTGAGGATTAAATGGTAAAATACAAACAAAGTACTTTGTAAACCCCAAAGAGCTATACAAATGTTAGTTATCACAATAAGCGTTTAGAGGATAAATTGTTAAACACATTCCTTTTGATCACAGTGTGGCATGACTAACAGAGAGTTTCAAGTGTCTGCAGACTTTAAAGGACAAAGCTTAGAGACCGGTAGCAGTTGTGAATTTCACCTTTCTTGTGGAGATCATAAAGTAAACACACATGACCATTCAACAAAACTCACAGAAATGTCCCAGAGGGGTTCAAAAGATGAATTACTTTCCCCAGCAGAGTATAGCAAACCCATGGCAGACAGAAGACCAAGGGGTGGGAACCTGGAATTATGACTCTTTCAGCTTCTCCTGCAGCCTCAACAATACACAGTTTACAGCTTTAGTTGGAGACCAGAGCCATTAGAGGATGCTTTCTTTGTCAGTGTAGCAAAAGATCCAGATAAGGAGACAGACTAGAAAGTGATCTAAGGCCTGACTAGCAGGAGGCAGGAAAAATTAGTTAATCATCACTTCCTTTCAAAAGGCATCAGGCAAAATTACTTTTGCTCTGTTTAAGGACCTCCATAAAATAATAGTTAGGATGTAGCTAGCATTTGTTTAGCAATTACTGAGTACCAGACAATATACGCTTTTCCTATGCTCCCATGTAGTCCCGCGGCAGCACTGTGACTCTGATAGAACACATTTGGAGAGAAATGCAGCTCCTGTTTGCAGCTCATTCACAGAAGAGATGGTCTCTAAGTCATAGTCTCTGTGCCCAACGTCTATGTTCCAAATTATCACCTAGCTAGAAGGACGGTTCTGACCATTCCGCAATCAACATCTCCATGGGAAATCTATGCAAACTGTGGTCTCTCTCTTTCCAGAAAAATACATACACACACACACACACACACACACACTTTGCCTGTGATTTTAGGTGTTCAGAGACTTCCTCAAGTCCACCCAGGGACCAAGGGTCAACATCCATCCCAGGTTAAGAAGCTCTGCCCCACAAGCCTTCCCGGCTCCAAGTCATCTCCTCTTCTTCCCCTCTTTTCAGCACGGGGCTCAACCCAACCTTCCTGAGTTTCTCCTATTTTGAGGCATACGATTCTAGCTCAGGTATATTTTAATGATGACATAACTGAGGGTATTTTTGCTTTATTAAACAAAAACAAGATGTCAAGTACTACAGCCCAAGATGTGGTCAGAGAAAGCTTCCAAACTTGATGGGACTTCTGGTATTAACCACAGTAGTGGTTCCTTCATGGGACACCTGGGTACCTGGGCTACAGCCACCCAGAGCTTGTTAGCAAGGAGGTCCACTGGACCCCTCTGCAGAGTTACTGAATTCAAATGTAAAGGTGGGGATGGGAATTCACTTGATTCTGTGAACAAATTCCCCTAGTCAAGTTGAGACACATTGCAATTAAACACCTGTCTTGGACTGAGAAGAAATTAAGTTCCCTAATACCAAATTACTTGTCGGAGGCCTCATTTCTTGGCTGCAAAGCCTTCAATAGATGTGATGATTTCTGACTCTCTGTCTACACATTTCTATCTCAAATACTCGATAGTGTGATCAAAATTCAGTCAATAGGACAATTTATTTAAACACATCATTGTGTTGAGAAAATGGATTCGAAATACCCAGTGCTAGTGGGAAATAAAATGTTTGTGATTTATTCCTTTAAACCAATAATATCCCCAAATAGGATGCTCATTAAATTGCTAAAATTGTAATGCATGAATTTAAATCTGCTTCAATCGAATGCCTTCATTTGAGAGAAGTTCGCTTTTAATAGGATTGTGTGTTCTCTGTAAAAAAAAACAAAACACGTTTTGTTGTAAACTAAGGATTAAAATAAACAAACCAACAAATGACTACAGCATCACGGATTAAGCAGCCTTTGTCTGTTTTAAAGAACATTACCTAGAGTGATCATTTTTTCTAGAATTAAAATTGGCATGCATAGTCTAATAATTATGTATGTGAAAAAAAGGGCATGGTTTTGGGGGTCTGCATAGTTTCAAGATAATATGGGCTGCTGGGATCCTATGTGTTTTCATACAGAATATGCAAAGCACACACTTCAAACATATGGCTTCTTTAGGTTATAACTGAAGTAAACTTAAATGATGGGACAGGTCTCTGCAGCTCTGATGTCATTTCAGTTAGCAACATTCATGTAGCTACCACCAAATGGTGAATCCTAGGTTAAAAGTCTCATGCTCTAAGCCATTGAAGTTGGTTCTATTCCTTGGCACTGTTTTTGTAAAAACATAGATTATAATAATTCATATTAGGATTGTTCCTGGAAAGTTTGTTTGTTCCTAACCTTATATTTAAGAAGAAAAGGATATGAAAGAAAATACATTCATTGTCTGATCTTAACTTATTTTTCAATTTGTGTTTATTTCCTCCAAAGTCTATAATAGCAAAAATAAAGTTACCTCAACACCATTGCAATTCTCTTAAAATATGCTGATTGATTTAGTTCTATGTGATGAAGAGAATGTTTTCGTTAAAAAAAAAAACTTGCTTCTAAAAGACAATGAACCTAATGAAATTTAAAAACAGAGTAAGTCACTATGCTCCAAAGTCACTTTGTTTTCTAAGTAAAACAAAGTTTACTTTTAAGGGAGGGAAATCATACTATAAAAGCTACAAACAGTGGCCTACAGAAAATATATGAATTAAAATCAAATGCTCAAAGCAGTCAACGAAAGTAAGTTATTTTCCAATCATTTTCTGTTCATTAGCACTTGCAAATTAAAAAAAAAAAAAAAACTTAGCCGAGTTTGGTGGCTCACAACTGTAATTCTAGCACTTTGGGAGGCTGAGGTGGGTGGATCACCTGAGGTCAGGAGTTTGAGACCAGCATGGCCAACGGTGAAACCCCATCTCCACTAAAAATACAAAAATTAAGAGGGTGTGATGGTGGGTGCCTATAATCCCAGCTACTTGGGAGGCTGAAGCAGGAGGATTGCTTGAACCCGGGACTCGGAGGTTTTAATGAGGGGAGACCCTGTAACTGCAGTCCAGCCTGGGTGAAAGAGCCAGACTCTGTCAAAAAAAAAAAAAACAAAAAAAAACACAAAGAGAAAAAAAAGTGACCTATTTTGATAGGAATAAATGTTGAACTAACTTTAGCCTGATGCTAAGGAATGCTTCTTTTAAGTGGAAAAAATAAGTCATTTGAATTTAATCCTAAATCTAGAGGCAATGTAGCGCTGGAGAAGACCGCAGTTCCAGAAATCTAGAGAGAGGAATTCAAACTCTGGTTCTGTGACTTCAGGCAGTTTACTTAACACCTCTCTAGGGAGGTTCCCTTTTCTTGTTAGTAAAATCTGGTTGTGTTAGCATTTGCCTAATAAGGTTGAGAGATTTAAGGAGATAATAGCTTGCATTGCTTAGGACACTGCCTGGAACACAAAGAGTTCTGCAGTCTTACAGGAAATGTTGATTTCACATCAATGGGACTACAAATCCCAAAGGCTTTCCTGTATTTCTTGGACTCCAAGAACTCCTTACTAAGGCAGTTTTCCAAGGAAGGGGATGGAAAATACCACCACATCACCACCACATTTGCTCTGATGTGAAACTCGGATTCCATAATCACTAATAGGGTGGCACATTTGTTGAGACTTAATGCATAAATGTCCTATGAACAAATACTTCCGCAAAAATATACCTCCCTTTTGACCAAGGCATGTTTTTCTTGCGTAATGAGAAGCCCAAACAAACTGTTCTAGAAAATAACTGAACATCTCTATGTGGCTTCCAGAAGCAACTTTAATAACTTAGGGGGCAGTGAACCAAACACTGGGAGGATTCAACGTCAGGCTATTTGTGCATCTTAATGAGCATTAATCAAAGGTCTTATTCCAGGTAAAAGACTGGAAGATGAAAAAATACAAAGCCAACCTGTCAAGGACTGTATGGATTCTACAGAAATAAGCTATGATTGTTAGGGTCATTAGCAGGCTTTCTGACATTCAGCTATAAAGTGTTATTCATGAACACAGAGCGGGAAAAATTATATACTCCATTTAAATAAAATCAACCACATAACAGATATAATTCACAGAGCGATCATTTTTAAAAATAGAAAATTGAAATTCAAATCAGCATTTTAATGGCCCAGTGATCCAAATATTAAATTGATAATCAGGTCTGAGTGATTCGCATGAGTAGCTGGAAATATTCTTATAATTCTATAACCATCTATGAAATGCCAGAAAATTCACATGTTCAGAAATCATGGTCCCAGGAAGAATCTTAGACTATCAGTGCCAGAGGGGACTTCAGACATGATCTAAGTCAGTGGTTCTCAACTCTCAGGAGGGGGAGATTTTTCCCTGATTGGGATGTTCTTCTGGAGATATTTTTAGTTGTTACAGCTGGGGGAGGAGTCCTGCTGGTAGCTAATGGGTAGAGCCAGAGGTGCCTTAAACATCCTTTCCTAAGCACAGGGCAGCCTCCCACAATATACTTATCTGCCCCAAAAGTCTATAGTGCTGAGGCTGAAAAACCCTAATCAAGATCAACTTTTTCACTTTACAAAACAAAGAAGCCTAAACCATGGCTTTTCACTGGACCAATAGTTGTGAATCTAAACAGGACTAGATTTCAGGGGTCCTGGTACTATTTTATTTCTATGCTAGGGTTTCTCCCAGCTCCATTATTCCTGCCCACCTACCCACTGATCCTCAATCTATCATTCAAAATTTATTAAATGCCTAGTATGTGTTTGGCACTGGGAATACATCAGTGAACAAGATAAACAGTCTTTCTTCTGTGTGTTTATAGCATTGTGGGAAAAGCAGGTATTAGGTAATAATACAGCAAATAATGATCATTATGATAAGTGCTTCATGAGAGCACACAATAAGGGGAACTCAATTTGGTTTGACATTCTCTTTTGTTCTCAAACCAACTCTCCTAATGCAGTACTCGACCACATATCTAAATATCCCTAAAAGAGATTTTGAATAACAGGGGTGGGTCTTGACAGGCAATCTCTATGTAAAGGGGACCTTGCTACGATGGTGGAGGTTAACAGTCATGGTCCCCATTCACTGGGGACTCACCCTGCACTAGGCACTGTAGTAAGTGCTCTTCTGATATTTAATCCTCACAACAAAACTAAGAAGCAGGTACTATTATCCTCATAACCTCCAGTTTACAAGATCTTCATATTTTGGATGAGTGGCTTGGCTTGGGAATATGACATGGTCTATCATAGCTGAGTTAAACATTTAGGAAAGCGATTGAAATTAACGTGCTTATAGGGTCCGCTTTGTGCTGTAGCAGACCTGGGGATGGTGTCAGAGTATCACTGGCGATTTGGTGATTAGTCCCCACCTTTGAAGAACTAGCGAGGGAAGGAAAGGTCATTTGAAGCAAGCAGCTGAGAACAGGCAAGGACTTATGGACAATGTTATCAACTGCCATATTTAAGATAAAACAAAGTGGCAAAGATCTGAGTATTTGAGGCTCAGAGGTATGTTCTTAGAACTGCTGTCTAAAATGTTAGCCACTAGCCACATGTGGCTATTACTATTAAATAAGATTAAAAATCCCAGTTATTCAGTCACACTAGCCACAGCTCAAGTACTCAGCAGCCAGATGTGGTTAGTGCTTATCATACTGGATGTACAGATATAGAACATTTCCATAATCACAGCAAGTTCTAGTGGACAGCAGTGCCTCAAGGTAGCATCCAGGGGCAAGAAACTCTCTAGTTGCCATTCCTAGGGTGATGTCCTCCCGCTCATAGTTTGGGACCTCAGGCCAACCCTGGCTCAGGCTGATGGGAGAAGAAGGGAGCTAAGGGCTTGCTCAGACTTAAGATCCATGCACCGCAGAGCTACAATCCAGGACTCAGACAACTTTGGAATGAGAAGGGTTCTTGGGGATTAAACATTCTGCCTCCATTTCATCAAGCAACTAAGGACTTACATCCCAAACTCTCTCCTGCTTCACCATGGTAAGACATGCCTGCTTACCCTTCACCTTCCGCCATGATTGTCAGTTTCCTGAGGCCTCTCCAGTGATGTGGAACTGTGAGTCAATTAAACCTTTTTTCTTTATATATTGCCTAGTCTCAGGTATGTCTTTATTGAAGTGTGAAAACAGACTAATACACATGGCTCATGAACTAAAGTTTTTATTTTATTTTAATTAATTTAATGGTAAATTTAAGTAACCAGAGGTGACTAGTGGCTATCTTACTGGACAGTACAGGTCTGGAATCTGAATCGAGCTTCTGCATACAAGCATGAAGGGTCCTCTTTATGGTCAGGAAGTGTAAAGTTTATTCTGGCTCAGAAATATTCTGAATTATGAGGGGTCACTTGCTTCTGTCTTGCTTTAATACATACAGCTTTGAGTAACTTTGAAACATTGGTCAAGATAATTTGAATATATTGAAAAGACAAGTGAATCTTTTAAAAAGAAAAAAAAAGATAGTGCCAAGTAAGAAGATGGGATTTATGAACATCTTTGAGTGGTGTTATTACATGCAGCCTTAATGGGAAGAGATGGATTGTAAAGTGAAACTGATGATAGAATTTGGGATTCAAGACATGTTCAAGTGACGTGACAGACCCTGAACTGACCTCATCCTCTTCAGAACACATTTATTCCTAAACTTGATAAACCATCAACTCCCCTGAAACAGACATGTAGCAGAGAGATTTCACAGGGCAGACTTCATGCTGACCAACCTCAAGGCATCGGATTTGGGGTTTCTGTGCATCTGTGCCCCGTAAGTCCCTCTCCTTTCCCTCAGGTGAAAACCGGAGGAGTGTTGTTATTGTCTGGTCAGATCTCTACGTGCTGGTGTGATGACGGCTTTGGAATAACCAGGGATGTGCCTGTTCTGTTCCCTGGGTCTGGATGGTATGTTCTAAGTCATAAGAGACAGGAAGCAGAGTCTGACAGGAACCCCAGTGTGGCAGAATGCAGGACACCAAGATGGATGTTAGGAAGGGAATAGGGAAGGAAAAAAGGGCACAACCTCAGTTTTGTTTTCTAAAGAAAGAGTCCCAGCAGGTAGGGAGAGTCAGGGATTTGGCTGTGTACTCCAGTTTTCAAAGCCCCTTTAGTATAGTTTGCCAAATTTCAGAGCGAAAAATACAGAATTCCCTAGTAAAGTCAGAATTTCATATAAACAAAACAAATTCCATTTTTTTTTTGAGACAAAATTTTGCTCTTGTTGCCCAGACTGGAATGCAATGGTGTGATCTTGGCTCAACGCAACCTCCGCCTCCTGGGTTTAAGCAATTCTCCTGCCTCAGCCTTCACAGTAGCTGGGATTACAAGCATGTGCCACCATGCCTGGCTAATTTTGTATTTTTAATAGAGATGGTGTTTCTCCATGTTGGTCAGGCTGATCTTGAACTCTTGACCTCAGGTGATCCGCCCACTTTAGCCTCCCAAAGTGCTGGGATTACAGGGATGAGCCACCAAGCCCAGCCTAATTCTGGCCTAATTCTTTATATTAGTAGTATTAGTATTAGTATTAGTATTAGTATTAGTATTAGTATTAGTATTAGTAGTATGGCCAGTGCAATAGTTGGGATGTACTTATTCTAAAATACTAGACATTGTTTATCTGAAATTTCAAATTAATGGAGTCTTGTATTTTGGCTGGCAACTCTATTCATGAAACACCAGTCCCAAGAGATCTTGCCTTAATAAGAAGAGATGTATGGTTAACTATACACTGGAAATGCCACTGACTTTATCACCCTCTCAGAGATTCCCCAAGATAATAGCATATTTAAAAGCTCCGATGTCCAGGCACGGTGGCTCATGCCTGTAATCCCAGGACTTTGGGAGGCCAAGGTGGGCAGGTCATCTGAGGTCAGGAGCTCAAGACCAGCCTGGCCAACATGTGAAACTCCATCTCTACTAAGAAATACAAAAAATTAGCTGGATGTGGTGGTGGGCACCTGTAATCCAAGCTACCTGGGAGGCTCAGGCAGGAGAGTCACTTGAAACCATGAGGCGGAGATTGCAGTGTGCTGAGAATGAAACCATTGTACTCCAGCCTGGGCAATAAGAGTAAAACTCTGTCTCAAAAAGAAAAAAAAAAAAAAACAAAAAACCCAACTCTGATGAGTTTCATAGCAAATATTCCCATTCCTCTTTAACACGATACTTTTTAAACTTGAAAACACAGAGCCCAGCAATAAAGTAGTTTAAATGTCGGCCTCAGGGTCAAACTGCCTGAGTTCAAACAGCGGATTCCCAAGCAGGAGACAGGATGACCAGGAAGAAGTTAAACCAGAGATTCTAGCTGGGCATATGTAAGTGGCATAGTCATGGCACCAGTCTCACAGACTCAATGTGAGAATTACATGAATCAATATAAGCCTGTCACAGGGTAACTGCTTTGTGAACATTAGTTTTAATAGTCACATCAGTGCCAAGTACCTTTCCCAGCAAGGGCTAATAACATTCAAGCAAAACAATGCATGAAATTTGGGACATGTTAACTGTAGACTAAGGTGGGGTGTTAACTGTAGGCTAAGGTGGCTCTGTTTAGCATCAAATAAATCCCTTTGACTTCAGCTCATTATACTTGATGAAATGAGAATTTTTAGTGCAGTAGAACGTTCAATAGATCAAATCCTCTGAAGGAATTATGCTCCACTCTGAAGGAAGCTATTTAGCCTTCTTTATTTTATTTTTTTGTTTGTTTTTTGCTTTTATCTACTATTTTGTTTATGAGGGCTGTTATAACACAATACTGTAGATTGGGTGGCTTAAGCAACAGAAATTGATTGTCTCACAGTGCAGAGCCTGGAAATCTGAGATCAACGTACTTCTGAGGTCTGTGAGGAGGAATCTGTTCCAGGCCTGTCTCCTAGCTTCTCACGGTTTTTTGTTGCTGTATTTTTGGTTTTGTTTTTGGATTTTTTGCATTGTATGGCAGTTTTGGGCTTGTATATGCATCATTCCAATTTCTGCTGTTATTTTCGTTTTTTTTACTTTTTTTTTCTTTTTTGAGATAGAGTCTCTCTGTCACCTAGGCTGAACTGGAATGGTGTAATCTCAGCTCACTGCAATCTCCACCTCCGGGATTCAAGCAATCCTTGTGCATCAGCCTCCTAAGTAGCTGGAATGACAGTTGTGCACTGCCACACCTGGCTAAATTTTTCACATTTTTAGTAGAGACAGGGTTTCCCCATGTTGCCCGGGCTGGTCTTGAATGCCTGACCTCAAATGGTCTGTCTGCCTCAGCCTCCCAAAGTGCTGGGATTATAGGCATCAGCCACCACACCCTGCCACCTGCCTTTATTTTCATGTCGTGTTCTCTCTGTGTGTGAGTTTATCTCCACATTTTTCTTTTTTATAGGCACCAGACATAATTTACTAGGGTCCACCCAAATGACCTCAGTTTAACATGATTACCTCTGTAAAGATTCTATTTCCAAGTAAGGTCACACTCTGAGTTACTGGGCATTAGGACTTCACCATATGAATTTTTGTAGAGCATGATTCAACCATTACAGCTACCCCTGAGAATGGAGCTAATGTCTACCACCTATCTCACCACGCAGGATTACAATAAGGCTTAAATAAGAGAGTGTGGAGGGACAGCTTTTGAGAAAGCTGACAGCATTACAAAATGGCAAGGTAAACATTAAATTTCATACGTTGATCTGCACTGGAAGTGATCTTCAAACCTTTGCAAGAAAGATGCTAGGAAACTGTTAATCTTCCTACAATTCTGCTTGAAAACGTATAGCTAGGACTCCACGCTTCAGAAAGACAAAAAGGTTCTGGGGAAATGAGAGGCATGACTGCAAAAGAGCACGTGATTTGCAGTGTCACTAAATCCCCCGATGGCATCTAGGAAATTGGAGACAGAAACAAGGAAATGAAGATAGAGACACAGATATTTCAAAATTTACTGTGCATTTATCTCATGTCAGCCATTGTCCTAGACACAGAACTTGCCAAATGTTAATCTAGAACACAAAGATTATTTATGGGCAGTCTCTTTTCATAGAATGAGTAACCTAATTAGAAAAGCTTCTGATATGGTTTGGATCTGTGTCCCCACCCAAATCTCATGCTCAATTGTAATCCCCCATGTTCGAGGTGGGGCCTGGTGGGAAGTGATTGGATCACGGACGTGAATCCTTCATGAACGGTTTAGTACCATCCCTGTGGTGCTGTTCTCATGACAGACTTCTCACAAGATTTGGTTATTTTAAGTGTATAAGCCCCACTCTCTTGCCCTGTTCCTGCCATGCAGGACATGCCTGCTTCCCCCTTGCCTTTCACCATCATTATAAGTTTCCTGAGACCTCCCCAGAAGCAGAAGCCACCATACTTCCTGTACAGCCTGCAGAACCATGAGCCAATTAAACCTCTTTTCTTTGTCAATTACCCACTCTCAGGTATTTCTTTACAGCAATGTGAAAGGCTGCATACAGCTTTCCTCAAAAAACGGAGGCGGGGCAAGTAAAAAGGCTGATGCGGAAGTTGAGTGGAGGAGAAGGGGATAGCAAAACATTGTCAATTTTGTCACTTTCATCGGTGCTGGATCTGTTCTCTTCATTTTTGGAAAACTAGTTAGAAGAGTCACTGATGTTGAAAAGTCTGATTCAATCAGGACATGGGCACATGCCTACAACTCCCATACCTCTCATCCGCAATGCTACCAGATAATGTTATAAACTCTTGGACTTTCCATTTTACTCCATCAATAAGCTTTTAAAATTTAGATATATTTTAAGGATGGGTGCTTAGAAATACTTGTTTAAATAGAATCTCTTTAGGATCTTCCAAAGCAGAATCACTTGTTCCTCACTAGGGTATCGTTGAAGAATTGTATTCAAAATTGCCACAATTTTAAGTACTAAGACTGACAGATAGCTAACAGGAAAATCTCAAAGGCTGAACTATTAAGTGGAATTGGGGAAAAAATGGAATTGGTGAGTTTCTCATGCTTTGCCTCATGAAACAGAGTAGTATCTTGACTGGAAAACTGGAAAATGCTCTTCTGTGGTCAGCTTCCAGTTTGGGAACCCCATGTCTCTACCAGTTATGCAAACACTCCTAAACATCCTGATCTCTCACCACCCCTGATTTCCTACTTCCAGAGTGTGACAGTAGCTTCGAGAAAACAAGTAGGTTGTGAAGGATGGGAGCCAGAAAAAATGATCATGGTTTTTCTTTCTGGAGGAAAAATCAAAGCAAAAATAATTAAGGCAGTTTTGAAACCTGTGTGTATTTTAGAAGGGTTTATTGTCATACATTAGGACATATAAAACTATGAGTGTTGGAACAGTGCGGCATTTTTGCAAAATTTAATATATGATATGGTCCCAAAGTAAACCATTGTATGTATTAAAGCTTAAAGTCACATGAAGGCTATGTGATAAAACCAGAAAAAGAATGGGTATTTAAAATAAAATAAAAATAACATTTGAAAGAAAAATTGATTTGTAGGGTAAAAACTCAAAACAAGACTTTACATTAAACCATACATCAAAAGTTCTAGATGGACTAAAGAATCAAATGTGAAAATGAAGCCATAAAAAGTTAGAAAAATACATACATTCATGTAACTTCGATTTTGGAACAGGCCAAGATTGTTCATTGTGAAAATGAGAAAATAAGCCCTAAGGAAATAATGGTATTGTGTTTGACTAAAGATCTAAAAATTCAGCATTTCAAAACATCAAATCAAATTAACTCAAATAACAGGCTGGCATAAAAGAAAGGCAAGAAACATGACAGGCAAGAGATTAATATCCACAATAAGTAGTGAGCCTTTAGGAATCAACAGGGAAGAAATTAATAACAAAATAGAAAAAGGGAAGAGAATATGAACGGGCAGTTGCTTCACAAGTCATGGAGAAAGAAAAAAAGACGTCACCACTGCTTTTTAAATGACAAAAAAAAAAAAAAAAGGCCACAGTGCCTTATCATTTTCATCAATCAAAGTGACACATTTAAGAAACCTTAGCACTTAATGCTGGCAAGTGTAAGTAAGGTCAACAGGGACTGTCATATATCGTAGGTGGAAATAACGGTTAGTGTTATTTCTTTGCAAAACATTTTGATAATTACATTTTAATTGTCAAAGGAATTTACTTTTTCAAAACAGATTTCAACTTCTAAGCATTGAGGCTAAGAAATTAGATAACTGTGGACAGACATCTGTGTACCTGAATGGTCACGACAGAACTGTTTAACTGATGACTTTTGGGAAATGCAATAATCAAAACTAGTGGCAAGTTTCAATGAACTGAGACTCCGTGAGATGTTTTCTTATGTGGATATTAAATATCACGGTTTGGAAGAAATTTATGAAGAGAACCTTCCCAGAAAATAAACTGTAATTTTAAAAGCAGAACACAATTTGAACGTATAGTTTAATCTTACATATGAATATAGGAATGAGTATGTATTTAATTACATGAATAGAAAAGCATAGATGTAAAAACACTGAAATGTTATCAGAAGCTACTTCTGAGTGGTAAAACTACAAGTTTATTTAATTAATTTATTTATTTTAGCAGCAACAGTGAGCATGCCTTTATAATCAGAATACGTTAATTTGAAAATAAAATACTGGAGTCAGCATTTTGGAGATGTTAGGTAAAGCTGACTCTGTCATTTTGTATCCATTCATGAAATGGCTGCTATTAGTATTTGGGCTAAGGAAGGGCAGAGGCATTTGGCAAACTGCTTCTGCTGGAAAGATGGCCATTGCCATATATATATATACAATATATATACACATACATACACATATACGTGTGTGTGTATGTATATATATATATATATATATATATATATATATATATATAATTACACATTTTTTTAAATGGATGGTACTGTCCGTTCCACCCAGCTAAGCTATTTGAGGTTTTCTGGTTTATTTTAAAAATCAGCACCACATTTATTTATTTATAAAATAAACAATACTAAAATAAATAAATAAATAATATAACTTTTGTTTTAGATTCAGGGGTACATGGGTGGGTTTGCTACCTACGCATCCTGTGTGATGCTAAGGTTTGAGTGAGATTGGTCCTGTCACCCAAACAGCACAGTATCGAGTACATTTTCCCATCCTTGGACTCCTCTAGTGGTCCCAGTGTCTATTGTTGCCATCTTTATGTCCACAGGTAGCCACTGTTTAGCTCCCACTTATAAGTGAGAACATGTGGTATTTGGTTTTCTGTTTCTTCATTAATTCACTTAGGATGATAGCCTCTAGCTGCATCTAGTTGCTGCAAATCCTGTGAGTTTATGGCTGCATGGTATTTCATGGTACATATACTACATTTTTTTATCCAGTCCACCCATTGATGTGTACCTAGGTTGATTCCATATCTTTGCTATTGTGTATTGTCTAGATGAGCTATTTGAAAATGGGAACCTGCAGCAGGGAGAAGAATTTTAAAACCAGGACAACGTTTTAAAAAAAAGCAGCTGGGCATGGTGTCGTGTGCCTGTAGTCCCAGCTACTCAGGAGGCTGAGGCAGGAGAATCGCTTGAACCTGGGAGGCGGAGGCTGCAGTGAGCCAAGATCACGCCACTGCATTGCAGCCTGGGCTACAAGAGCAAGACTCCGTCTCAAAAAAAAAAAAGCAATGAAAAAATGAGATTTGGCTTAAATGGAGTTGATAGGAGAGCTTCGGGAGAGGAGACAAAGAGGCTTGATAACGTGGAACATAGAAAGATTTAGCAAAACATCCGCATCCATACAATTCAGTGATAAAACCCACGTGAGAGCCGAGACTGCTCTAACTTGTAACGCTTTTTTTTTTTTTCTTTTTAAGATGGTGTCTCGCTCTGTTGCCCTGGTTGGAGTGCAATGGTGCAATCTCAGCTTACTGAAACTTCTGCCACATCCCTGGTTCAAAAAACTCTCCTGCGTCAGCCTTCCGAGTAGCTGGGATTACAGGTGTGCACTACCATGCCCAGCTAATTTTTGTATTTTTAGTAGAGACAGGGTTTCACCATGTTGGCCAGCCTGGTCTTGAATTCTTAACCTCAAGTGATCCACCTACCTCGGCCTCCCAAAGTGCTGGGAACCAGGAGTGAGCCACCATGCCCGGCCTTTTTTTTCTTTTAGTATTACTACATTCACTTACAGACGCGAATCTAAGACCAACTCAAAGTCTACAAAGTAAATAGCAGGGAAGTACCATTACAAATATGTTTGCCAATATTCATAAACCTTTGTGGGATTATTAAAACACTAGGAGAAATCTGCTATCTTTCCTTATATAGTATGTTTATTTTCATGTGACTTCCAACTTTTCAAAAAATAAAAATGCAGCAAATAGAGGCATGTTCACATAAAAAATCCAACTGGTTCTTTCCTAGAATCTTAGACAGCTAACTGTGGGGAGCAAGAGGAAACTACTGTAATTTTTTGAAATATTTAGGAGATTTGCAACCCTGTAAATATGCCTCATGAATGGCAGTAATACATGTTTGCCCTTGCTTCATAGTAATGCTAAAAACATCTCATTCTGCAAAAGCTACTTGATGCCCAGTGGCCATTAAAAAAAATCAGAATTGGAAAAAGGCATTTTATCAACACAAAGTTAAAAGTGAACTTCAAAAGACACAAAATTGAGTGTAAACATCAGATCCTGTATCATAACCACACCTGAATATATTACATATGGAAATACAGCAGTAAGAGCACAATCTATATTCCCTCTGAGCTGCTGTCCCAACCACATAAATTAATCAAATGGCATGTCAATGGAAGCTGGCTCAGAAAGTCTGTGTTCCTCACATTTTCTTGAAGTTTAAATGTTTCTGAGATAATAAAAATCTGATCTTGGAAGGAAAGGAGGGAGGAATCAAGAGGTTAATTGCCCGCTGCCTTGGATGGCTTTGGAGATGTGCTTAGTTTTACCCCTTTCTCATCTTAGCCCAATTAGTCTTCCTGTCTGGGCTGACAGGTCCTCAAAGCCCATTGCTGCCTAAG